ACTGAAGAACAGCAGGCTGCATAAAGAAAATATAAGGGTATTTCTGCAAAACGGTGCAAACACTAAACTGAAGAGGAATAAGGTCAAGCAGGCAACCCTCAAAAGCACAAAGCAGTGGCACGGAGTCAGCATAGCAACATCTCTGCAAGTTGGCCCATGCGATGGGAATAAATAAGACCTTTTCAATGCCAAGCCTTAACTGTCTTGACCTCCACAAAGCTTCAATAAAAGACACCTTAACAAATTCAGGCAAAGCAGCTTTTAATGCGAATTTAGTACCTTTAGACCTCAGAACTCCAGAGTGACTTTACAGTGATGGTTTTCATACTTCAGTGCACTGTTTCCCTTCGCCACCTACACTGTCCTTCACCACGGTGAGGCGTGGTAAGGCATACCATCCTAGACAGAGTGGTCTGTTACACCAGCTTTCTGTGCAGCCTACGTTTCCAGACAACGCACTCCATCTTCCCAACTAGGGTGAATGAAGCCCAAGCAATTCAATACTCTAGTGTTTGTGGTGTCATAAAAGGTCATATCTTTTATTCCCAAATCATGTCTCCTCACTGAACTCTTAACAGTACTTTTTCCTGTCTATTCATTCTCACGAAAACATAGTAATACACACATCGTGAAGCTTGAACAAGTTTTCTAAAATACTCCTTAGGCTCCAAGTGTGTTTGTTCCCTGTATTTTTGATGGTAGGCTTCCAAATATCCACTCTTCACAGTAATGCTTCAAAACAACAGTTTTAGAGGTAGAAAAACACAGCCAAACTTTGATTCAAAGGGATTTTGGGGGTTTGTTTTGTTTAATTCAGGTCCTCATCTGACTTCATGGGACATTATCGTATTTTTGGTGAGGCTGAAAATATTTCCAGGATCCCCTCACACTGCCGTCCTACTTCTACTTCAAATCCCAATTTAACAAACGCTTTCTAAAGTCAGTTTCTCTGCTTAAAGCTATGTCTGTACTTAGCACGCAAGTAACTATTAACTACTGATATAAGCTATTCCTGTTAAAAACCATGCCTGTAAAACTGGAAGGGGTAGATAGAGTTTCAGAGAAATGGCAGAGGTCTTTAAGCACAAACTACCAACATTATGAGTCTCAACATTTGCATTATTTAGTTCCTGCAGAATACAAAAATATTTTTCAGGTTAGAGAGTTTACAAAGCATTGAAACTCATTTTTTTTAAGGTCTGAAAATAAACATAAAAATCATAACTTCCGTAAAGTTTCTTTTGAAAGGGCATAAAAGTTAGTCTTAAATAAACATATACAGACAAAGATTCTTTCAGGTAGCTCAGTTTTAGAAGACGACTTAAGCAAGAGTCGGCAGAACTCACAGATCTGCATTACTTTAAAGTAGAAATCAGATTTGCTTCAGATTTGCCTCCATTATTTTGTTCTCTGTGCCTTGATTGGGACCCCAGTCAGATGAAAAAAAAGCTACTCTACTTCACTATAGGACTCACTAGAACACATTAATTCACACATTTCAAGTATTCAGCACAGAAAAACCCAATATGGACTCAACAATTCTTTTTTTTTTAATGAAATTAACCTTGTCTGTAGAAGCTGAAACAGAAAACCCCTTATAGCTTGACTTGAACTGTACGTTCACTCACTGTGAGAGCAGTTGACACTGCACCAGAGTAGAAGAGAAAGAAAGCATACTTTACACACACATGACCCCACCAAATAGCACAGAGGGAACTCGAAACTGGTCATATGTTTAAGTTCATTAAACTTTGAAGCATTAGGTCAAGATTTAACACTCCTACCAAAATCAACATAGTAAAAGCAAAGATTGAATTTTTTCTACTTGTTTTCCACCTCAAGAACCATAAGTTTAAAAGTTCATAAAAAAAACATGCATAGACTGAAAAAATTATTTATACACCACCACCTCCAAAAAACTCTGAAGGTGTTTTTTCTACAAGCCCCTTGTATTTTGGATATTTAGCTTGATATACCTATTTTTAGAAATCAAGCCTTCTGAGATGTATTTAGGTATGGTGTTCTTCAGATATAGAACTTGAAACCTTGAAAAATTAGAAGGAAACACTAACTCCAGCAAAAGACAAAGCAACAATCTGCCTCTCTCAGAATGACTACCAAATACATTAAGAAAAAATTAATTTGTAGCTGTCTGCCTCAAGTAGACTTATATAATGCTTTATTTCCAGAACTCGTGCATCATTTTCTGCCTTGCACATCCTCCAAGGTGCTACACTTTCCTTATCAGGTTTTCTTCTCAGGTCTCTCAAAATAATACCCCCTTGGTATACCATAAGAAACTGTTTTTAAGCATATTGTTAAAAGTACATTTTCCTCCCTATGTTCTTCAGCTCTGGAATACACATTTCAGCCGTGTTCACTTTATAACCAGCCACCCATAAATTATTTTGGAGCAACTGAGTGACATCTGTAAATATTTCAGTTAGTTTCATAAACCGAAACAAATCTCTTTCTAAGTACGGAAACAGAGGAATACTTTTACATTATTTTAGGTGAGGAAGAGTGAAAAAAGCCCTTACTGTAACAGCACACAGAACTCGGCAGAAATGAGTCTCTTAAAAGAAAGGCAGAATTTAGTATTTGAACTACCTTTAAACTTCAAGTCACATGTAAACATTGCCGATCGCCACTAGAGGGTACTACAGGACATCAGTAAGTCTTTCCCTCCATTTTAAGGGAAGAGGCCGAACACCAGCACTATCAAACTTTACTAAGTTCATACTGAACATGCTTTAACCCTCCAGAAAGGAAAGGAAAAAGCACAAGATTTCTTTAAGGGTTCCTAATACAGCCGGAGCAGCAACAGTAAAATATTTTTGTTCTTATTTTTATTGTGGCCTGAGTCGACTTTTAAAGCATTTTTCACCATACCACCATTTTACTTTATGCTACAACCAGTTAAGACTCCACTACTTACTTTACTTACTTACAAGTTAGTAAAAAAATTCAAAGTTTATTATAGGACAGAATGCAAAATTGATTACGCTATTCACAAAAATTTATGCAAATTAAAAACAGAAGGAAAGCACCACTCTTTTATAGCATACTACCATGATATGAATGGAATAGTTTGCAATCACAGTACTGAATATTGCCTATAGATCTCAGTATCACTGCAAAACGTTGCTACAATTTTATTACCAAGATTTTAGCCTGAGTTTTGCTCTCAGTAAAGCAAGTAACTCCTAGTGAATCAGCTTAACACAAACAGAGCTCCTATTAGTAGGAACAGGACGTTATTTTCAAAGAAACAGAACAGAAACCAAGGCTGATCCTGTTCTGCATCGTTTCTAGTGAGCTGAACTTCCTTCAGTACCAAACACTACCTGTTGCTACGCTCTGGCTTCGAGTTTCTTGCCAGGTAACGCACAAGGTAACAGCTTTGCATCATCTTTGGAAGAGTGATAGCGTCATACTTCCAGATACACAACCCGTACTTGCACTCTCCCTCATTTCAGCCCATCAGGCACACCTGATGCCGCACGGTGGCTGACGCCCATCGGGGGCGCGGAGTCCAGCACCCGCCCGGCCCGGGGGACCTCACAGGAGCTCCAGCTCCTCCTCACAGCTTCCCCAGGCAGCCCCACACTGGCCCGGCCAACGCAACTCGGGCACGGGGGCGGCTGACGGGTGCCTCGGGGCCTGCGCCCCAGCCCGGGCTCTGACGCCGAGCCCCGCACCCCCCCCAGCAACACCCTTACGCCACCGGCCGAG